AGTCCTGCATGGAGACTCAGTGGTTGGTTACCTGTAATCTGCCAGACAGACCTGCTTTGGCATGACTGGAAACCACATCCTTCAGGGGAGCTGTGCCAGGCAGTTTACCCCATTCAGCAGTCCAGGAGGAAGGAGCAGTGCCCCAGTGCTGCCTTCCCTCGGAGGCTGGCGCTGTCCGGGGTGGCAGTGACACTGCAGGGCTTGGGCACAGCCCTACCCGCTGCTTTTAGAGACGCACCGTGTGTGCTGTGGCGCTGGTGCCATCACCAGGGGGTTTTTAGGGAAAGGGCAGAAACACTGACTCATGAGCTGTGTACAGCAGGACCTGGAAGGAGTCGTGCCTTGGGAGTCCTAGGTAATTCCCAGCCTGGAGTGTTGTTACTGACAGCTCCCTTTGTTTCTTTCGCCCTCAGGTGGCTCCAGCGCGCAGCGAGAAGCGCAGCTCCTCGTACCTCATTCCCTCCCCCGATGCCAGCCCTGTGGAATTCCAGGCTCCAGGCTCGGCCGTGCGTTACACAGAGTCCTCCCTCAAAAAGAAACGTGTGTACTGAGCCCGGCATCCCTCCTGCCCGCGGCTGGGCAGGCAGGAGAGCACCTCTGCTATTTATTGCTGCCTTAACTTCAGACAATTCTGCTTTCTGTGTGGGTTATGAGTATCCCAGGAGGAACCACCTCTGGCATGGGAATGTTCTCCAAGGACATGATATGTATGCAGCAAGGTTGGTCCTTGGGGGGCTGACTTGCCTTCTGAGGGGCCAGTGTTGGCTTTGTCCCCTGCCCCAGATTGCAGCTGAGGGACAGAGCACAGTGACTTGGTGAGCTGTGGCAGCTCACCAGCTGAAAGCAATAAAACCACTGGGGAAGGAAAGCTGCTCCTTTCTCCAGGCCTCAGACTGAGGAAGTTAAAAGAGGAAGTCTTGATAGTAATTATTTTGTATTTTTGTAACTCAGAATGTGTGGGGGTTTTTTTCCAACCTTCCTTTTTCCAGGATTAAGAGTTGTGCATTTACAGCCTTTAAATTTTTACTGTTTCCTCTTAATCCTGGAATGGAGCAATACCAAATGTATTCAGAGCCTCGGTGATGTTCTCAATAAATGTCTGTTAAAAGGAAGATGCTATGCTGTGCTGCCTTCAAATCTTCAGTTGGAGCTGAACAAGTGATCCTTGGACTGTGGAGTGACCTCTTAGGCTGAGAATCCACAGCTTTTCCTTGGTGTAAGTGATCTCCAGGGTGTGAATGCACAGGGAATGTGGTGAAGCACATCCTTTCTTCCATAGCCAAAGCAGGGCTGCAGGCAGGACTGGCAAGGGTGGAGTGTTGGTAAAAGTAAGTGAAAGTGAAAGAAATCAGCTGCCTGTTGTACTTGTTGTGACTATTCTGGCTCTGGATGACTCAAAGTGAGACCAGAAGCAATGCTGAGCTGCTGTTCCTTGCCTGATATCTCTCCTGCTGCCCTTCACTGTAGTTTCTTCCTTTCTCCAAACATCATCATTGTAAAATTCAACTCCGAACACTCCCAGAGCAGAGCATCCCAGCTCCAGTGTTCACTCCTTACACAGCCCCTTGTGCATGAAGTAGTTCTCATTCACAAAGGAATTATTTCCTCACTCTGCTCTCCCAGGTGATCTGTTTGGGCTCACACCTGTGCACTGACCCCACATGTGTGACAGGGGAGTGGTGACATCACCTGTGCAGAGAATCCAGGTGTGTCCCAGCTCATCCTGGGCTCTCCCACAGCCATTGGTTTGCAGCTTAATTATATTTTCCCTCTTTTTTTTTTTTTTTTTTTTTACAAACTTGTTGTATTTTTTGTTTATTCATTAAGCAGCTCTGGCTTGACTCTTTCTTTTCTGCTGTTAGTCCTTGTAGCCAGTCCTCATTCCAAGGCTTTGCTGCCTTGGAATCCTGCTACAAATCCATTTGGGGTGAGTTCACTGAGGCCAGAATCCACCTCCTCCTTCTTTATTCCTCCTAGGTAATCCTGAAGCCATTTTTCAACACTAATTTATTTTTTTTTTTAATTAACAAAGAAGTCTTTGCATTTCAAGCTTTGGGACATGACTAAGATCCATATTTTTTCAAGCTTAAAACCGACTTCCCAATCCAAATCACTCCTCCCTCAGCTGCTGAGCTGTGGAACTGTGCCCAAACAGGGAACAGGAGCTTTTCTGGGATTCTCTCTGTCTGTATTGATAAATTCACTTGTAATATTTTGTTTTGGAACTTTCTCAGCTTGTTACACTTTCCAATGAATATAAATTGTTGGTACATATAAAAGGGATTTCTGGGGGAGGAAAACAGCCCTGGAGTACCTTTAGCCAGGGAAGGTGGTGTTGAAACATATTCTGATCATCATCCCTGTAGAAGGTACAGTTTAACAGCCCTTTTGCTGTTTAATTTAGGATTTAAAAGAGAGGCAGGTGGAGAAAAAAAAATCTTTATTAGATTTGCTTGTATAAAGAGTAACAAAGTGCTTACAGATGGAATCAGCTTCCTAGGTGACATACAGAAACAACAGGTAACACTGTAAAAATAAATCTGACCTCCTTGCAGCTCATAATTACATTATATATATATATATATATGTATGTATGTATGTATGTGTGTATGTCTGTGTATGTGTGTGTGTAAAGACATCTCTCTGTTATTGCCAGATCTCCTCAAAGCATTTTTCAGCTCCAGATGTGGTGGGAAAACATTGTGGCCCAAGTAGGACAGCAGAAGGTTCCAGTTAAACCACTGAGGCCTGAAGGGGCTCAAGGGGCTGCTCAGAGCTGAAATGCTCAATGTGGCCCCTTGGGGTACCTGAACATGGTTAGTTAAGGTGGGTTGGGTGTGTTCTTCTCTCTTAGGGACACTGTCCTGGGGGCTCAGGACCCTCTTTTCTTCTAGATACTCACCCCCAGATTCTGTACATGGATTCATTTTTGGTTGGACTTGATGAAGCTGGAGGTCTCTTCCAACCTTGATGAGTCTGTGATTTCTTTTCTATCCCAAGTGTATCATTATTCCCTCCCTGCACTGTGGCTCACCCACAGCACAAGCCCCAGGGCATCATGCTTACATGGTTAAGGGCTACAACCATGATGGAAGCTTCAAGGGCTAGAAATAATGGAAGAGGGGAGTTCATTTTTTGCATACATTTGCTTTTCCAGGGTTTCTCATGGAATTGCACAGCTCCACCCACTCCTCCATGCTCTTCTGACCAAACAGTCAAGTACTGCTCAGAGCTGTACTGATAACTTTGTCTTCTCTGGATTTAGATGCCAGAGTTGGTTTTTCATGACTCAAATTTAAGTGCATGTGAAGGATATTTGTCAGCCAAACTTTAACACTTCCTCCAAACCCTGTAAAAATGATTCAGTGACTGTGTTGAGCCCTCTAAGATCCACTGGCTCAGAGATTGAGGGGCTGAGGGTGCACACCAGCCCTGGTCGAGGTGCTGGAGATGGCAGTGAGATCTGCAGTGGTTTATCACCACACTCAGCTCACATCATCCATCAGGGCACAACGATAATCACATCAAGATCCAACTGCCCTGCAGTGAAAGCAGCAAAGGGAGTTGGGGCTCTTGCTTCTCCCAACTCTTTAAACTCATTTGATCCAACTTAGATTCCAAAGGAAAACTGTTGGCAAAAGACTCCTTGAACCACATCAGCACAGTCAGAGTACAAATTACAGTAGTTAAAAAAAAAAGAAGAGCCTTGGGGCATGTATATAGTTTGCTGCACATTGAAAGTACTGACAGTATAAAACCAAAATCATCCATTACATTTTACTCATAATTGTTTCAAATCCTTGGATCAGGTTGTGGAAGGTTGTGCGTTCATCGTGTTTGTATATCCAACACTTCCTCATCAGCTGGTCCACCTGGCACCAAAAACAGGGATAACGTTAGAGGAGTGAAACATTTCCATTGGGGTTTCCAGGAAAGACAACAGAGCAGAGGCTCACTGCTGAAGGACTTTGGCTTCAGGTCAGTTACTTCTGTCAAAGTACTGAAGAAGGTAACAAACACACCTCAGGTGTCGTCAGGATTAGCAAGTACCAGAGAGGCTCTGTGTAAGCACAGCTCTGTGCTAGTGGGGACACCTTAAACCAACCCACCACCTTCACCTGCTGTCCTGTACACCCAGGAAAGCTGTGTGCCAAAAATCAGAGGGATTCCAAATGAATTTTCATGGATCCAGATACTAAAGCAAGTCCTTAACATCTCTTGAAGGGACAGCATGGACTTGGGGATCTTAATATCAAAAAACATCTTAAAATAATAAGATGGTGCTGAGACACTGGCACAGGTTGCCTGGGGAGGCTGTGGCTGCCCCAACCCTGGCTCCAGGACAGGACAGGTTGGCTAAAGCTCTGGTGGGAGTTGTCCCTGCCCAGGGCAGAGGTTGGCACTAGATCATCTCTAAGCTCCAACCCCTTAACATACTATGAGTCTATAATGCTTTAAACCTTGGAAGTGCCTTTTTGTCACAGCACACCCAAAGGCTTTCCTAGCAGAAGGGCTAGGCCTGTGCAACCATGACCATGTGATTTCTCAGTGTCCCAGGACAGGGACATGCAGCCCTTACCTCCTCGGGGCAGGTGGGAGGCCTTGGCAAGCGCTTGTCATCCTGCAGGACACGCACCAGCCGTGCCACTGTCATCTGGCCCTGCGTGGGGCCAATCATCTTCAGGAACTCCTGTGGAAACAGCAGGACTCAGCTGGGCATCCCCTCACAAAAGGGACACCCATGAGGGTTGTCTTCATGACATGTATCTAGTGGCTGAGTAGAAGGTGTCCCTACCCGTGGAAGGGGTAGAATGAGATGAGCTTTAAAGTCTCTTCCAACCCAAACCAGTCTGGAATTCTATTATTCCATTCCTGGTTTCCCAAAATAATCCTATTTTTTTTAATTACCAGATTTAAGCAGCTTTATCAGCCATTTCTGTCACAACCACTTACTGCCATGGGACTGGACTCAGAGTCACAGTAGGTGAGGAGTTCGTACAGTGTCACCCCAAAGGACCAGACATCTGAGGCAATGTAGAACTTGCTCTGCAGCAAACACTCTGGGGCATACCTGAGGGCACAACATGACAGTGTCAATCACAGCTCTGCTCACACACATTCAAAGCCAACTCCAGAGGCACATTCCATGTTTTGGAGTCCTTGTATATAGATGAACATGTCCATAGGGCTTGGGATGTCACAGAAGTAGTAATTAAGGTACAACTGTTAGGAAGTTACTGTGAAACTAGAGACCTAAACCAAAATAGTGGGAAAGTAAGTGGATCATTAAGGTCTAGAAAACATGTTGTATGAGGAAGGGCTGAGGGAGCTGGGATTGGTTAGCCTTGAGAAGAGGCTCTGGGGTGACCTCATGGCTCTCTCCAACTCCCTGACAGGGTTAGAGAGAGGTGTAGGATAGTCTTTCCTGCCATGGCTGCAGGGAGAGGACGAAAGGAGCAGGGCAGAGGAGATGTTAGGAAAATTTGTCGTTGTTTGGGTATTCCAGGCACTGGAATATTGCCCAGGGAGGAGGTGGAGTCACCATCCCTAGAGGTGTTTCAGAGGTGTCTGGATGTGGCACTGGAGGATAGGGGTTAGGGTTTAGGGGTTACAGCAGTGACAGGTTAATGGTTGGACTTGATGATCTTGGAGGTCTGTTCCAGCCTTGATTCTATGATTAAGTACAGGAAGAAAGAAACAGCCCAGGAGTAGATAAGTACAGTCTATAAGGTGCCTTTTCCTTGGATAAGTACAGTCCTGGTGTTCTTCCTTGCTCTTATAGTCTATTTTACTTAGGCTTTTTATGAAAACAGGACAAATCCTGAGGATGCCCCAAAGCCTGAGTGTAGAGGAGCAGACAAGTCACTGCCCTGCCCAGCCTGGGGAAGGAGTGAGGGTAAGTCGGTACCAGAACACGGGGCTGTCGCGGTCGTCCTTCACCGTGTAGTACTCCTTGTCGGTCTCAATGGCTTTGGTAAGCCCAAAGTCTCCAATCTTCACTCTGTTCTCACTCTCCACAAGGACATTCCTGGCTGCCAAGTCACGGTGCACATACTGACAGGAGCCCAAGTAGTCCATTCCCTAGGAGAGGAGAAATAGCATTTTATCCTTGCCCTCCCCATCCCTGGGTTTCTCCAGTTCATGCTTCACATGGCACTTGTGTCTCTTCCTCTCTTTAGACTTTGCACCTTGCTCCTTCCCTTTTCCCAACACATACCCTCAGTACTGTCCTCCCTCCTAACACTCCAAATTCCAGCAGGAACAATGTCTCATAGCAAACTTTTAAGCAAAAGAACCTCCTGGTTATCCCCCACTGATCTTTGTGCCAGTAGCACCCAAAACAGGGAGAGATTGCTTTAGGAGTCAGGTCCTCGGGGACAACAAAGAAGAATGGATTTGTTCCTGACCTCTCCCCCTCACTCTATAAATGAGATTGTGAACTGACTGAAGAGAAGAACTGCAGCAGCTCTGGTGCCAACTCACCTTGCAGATCTGAACTGCATATCTGAGCAGCTGCTTCAGATTGATTTTGTTCTTGTTCCGTGGGAGATACTCCTTGAGGCTCCCAGAGGGAAGGAATTCCATGATAAGTTTAATCCCACTTCCACCTAAAACCAGAGCATGTTTAGTTTGCAGACAGGTGACCCTTCTCACATCATGAACACCAACAGCTTTTATACCAGCCCACAGCACTAGTGGTATTTGTAACAGCATCGTGTGGCCATGGCCAGACCGTGGGCTAAACCCCATTATCAATCCCTGTACCAATCCAGAGGTGAACCTATTCCAGGCGGGAAATACTTAATGTTTAAAGGAAAACCCTTACGCTTTCAGTGTTTGCTTTTAATATTCTACAAGAAGATTTACCATCCTCTGTGCAAATCCCCTTGTACTTGACAATGTTCTCATGGTAAAGATTCCTCAGGATTTCTATTTCCTTCTTGAGCTCAGTGATGTGATTCCCTCCACTCTCTGGCTTTAGGGATTTCACTGCCACTTGCTCCCCTGTGTTGTCACCTTCTGGGTCATATCTGCAGAGTTCAACCTTGCCAAAATGGCCCTTATGGGGAGAGAGAAGAGCATTAATGAGCACAGTGGTCACTCACAGTGTCCCCGAGGCACAGCTTTGGGCAGTGATGATTCACACACCAACACTGGTCTGTGTCCTGCACTGACATTCCCCTTACCTCTCCCAAATCACGGATCCTCTTCAAGAACCTCTTCTCAAAGAGAGTGGGATCCACCTCAGTAACAGGCTTCTTCTCTGAGACTATATCAGGATCTAGAAGTGGAAAAACATCCCAGGTCAGACAGATTCCCACATGGATAACTTGGTGTCAACACCCCAAGGCATCCTTGCTCACTTCTGATCTGCCACTGTTAGTGCGTCCATCCCCACTGTCACATCTTTCTTGACTTACATCCCACCTGCTTTCTGCCAGGGAATTCCCTCATCCATCCATGTCAGTGTCACTTGCTGATCCTCCCTCACTTTGTGGGTTGCTTGCTGAGTATTCTTCCAGACCCAGATCCAGTTTTCTCTTGGAGTACTTCCTATCCTACTAGGTGTGTCTAGGCAGGGTTAGTCCCACTGCTGGAGGGACACACCACTTGGCAGTATAGCCACACACAGGGAATAAAGCTGTAAGGTGCCCCGTTTAGCCAAATAAATCAGCCTTCCCTATCCCTGCTTATGGCTTATGGGTTGGAACAAGATGATCTTTAAGGTCCCTTTCAACCCAAACCATTCCGGTTTTCCATGATCCCTCCCTCCAGCTGCTGAGCACCACCATGGCTTACTTTGCTCCTCCAGTTTGTTGATGTCCCTCATGATGGCCCTGAAGAAAGGCCTCTGATGGGGGTCATAGTTCATGCACTGCTTCATCAGGTCAGCCAGTTCCTTGCAGGATGGCGTGGCCAGCACAAAGTGTCCCTCGTAGAACCTCTCCTTCTGTGGGCACAAATGGAAGACTCCTGCCTCAAGGTGTGCCAAGAGAGCTGGAGAGGGACTTGGGATAAGGGCATGGAGTGACAGGACGAGGGGAAATGGCTTTAAATTGAAAGAGAGTAAAATTAGATGGGATATTGGGAAGGAATTGTTTCCTGTGAGGGTGCTGAGGCACTGGCACAGGTTGCCCAGAGCAGCTGTGGCTGCTCCATCCCTGGGAGTGTTCCAGGCCAAGTTGGATGGGGCTTGGAGCAACCTGGGCTAGTGGAAGGGGTCCCCATGGCAGAAGGTGGAACTGGATGATCTTTAAGGTCTCTTCCAACCCAAACCAGTCTGTGGTGAAAAGGACATGTGTGAGCACACCAGAAGTTCAGTTTGATCACTCCTATGCTCCAACCAGGTTAGGCTGAAGCAATAATGAGCAATTTTTGTAGTAAGGATAAGAATTCATGCTGCATCCTGTGGCAATCCAGATGCATCAGCTCCTTATCCAGTCTGTTTTCCTTGAAGCTAAAAGCAATTCAAACTGGGGATGGAACCTGAAGTGCCAAGGGGGATGATGGATCTGAGATGCCAAGATAGTGTGTCTGTACCACAGTTTTACCTCTGCTAACGTCTTGTCTTTCAGTGGAATTTCTCCATTGTAGCAGATTTCCCACAGGGTTGTGCCAAAACTCCATTTATCTGCTGCAATGCTCAGATTTTTGGAGTCTTCCACACACTCAGGTGCAATCCAGGGGATTCGCTCAACACATTCTGGGATGAAACACAGGATCAAATCATTGTGGAGTGAATAGCAGAGGTGAAAAAAACCAACCTTCTAACTTAATTATTCTTGTCTAATTCTTGCTAATTAACTGAAATAAACTGAAGCTGCAGAATTTGTCCAGTTTCGGGGAAATCTTGATCCTCCAATCCCTGTTCCTGTGGGTTTTCCAAGCTCATGCCTGGAGCCATCCACAAACTGAGATTCCTTCTAGCTTATCTCACTAGACCTAAATGCTCCTTTAGCATAAATGAATACCATAAGCACCCACCGTGCACTTTCCAGATCCATGAAAACTGGTTCTTCCTATTCCAGAGCCACTTGTAGCTGGTACAGATTCTCTTTATTCCCTTCCCCAGCACCCAGCAGAGCTCCCATTCCTGCACACACCTTGCCTGGACAGCACTGTGATGGGTATTCCAGGGTCACTCAGCTTGATGAAAGGTCCATATTCAGTGTCAATGCCCTCTCTTGCCAGCAGGATGTTTTTAGTACACACATTTCCATGGACCAAATCCTTGTCCTCCTGCAGAAAAGGAGGAAGAGAAGAGTGAGTGCACTGAGCTCATGACGCTCTGCAGGTGCTACAACACACCTGCACCACAGGGGATCACTGGGAGATACTCCAAGCTGGAATACAACAACACAGCTTGGAGGAAATTGGAGAAAAAGAAAGAAGGGGAAGAAGGAGAAGGGGAGGAAGGAGAAGGAGTAGGGAAACATCCTATTGACACTTAGGCACTTGGATTTTCCTGAGGGGAGATGTATCCCCCATCAGGCTGCAGCAGCCACAGACAGTGCCTTTGCCAAGGTGCCTCTTACCAGGTAGCTCAGGGCACTTGCAAGTTGTTTGGCCACTTTGAATTTCCAAGGAGTTGTCAGGACTTCACTTTTCCGATGCATGAACAGATCCAGAGGCCCAAACTCAACAAACTCTTCAACCATGATATCTGCAAAGTCAGGGGGTAAAGTCAGTACTGCAACAAAAAGCATCTGGAATGTTTCAATGGGCCTGGTACCATCTCCCCCCTCTGCCCCCAGGTAGGATGGTGCTAAAATGACTATTTCACCTTCCTCAGAGTTTATTTCAGTGCTTAGAGCCCAAATGAAAAGGCTTCATGGAGTAAATGAACAGCAAACCTGGCACAAAGCATTTCAAAGGCCTCTTGGGCCTCGAGGAACCACCCCATAAGGCTCTTATTCAAACACCATGCTGGGAGAGGAAACTTATTAGCAGCAAGAGCTTTACAGCTGCTTTGCTGTTGCAATTCCACTCTTGAGAGCTCAAGAGGCAGCAGCTGCCAAGCCCCATGTGCCCTGTGCCAGCACTGAGCTCAAAGGCTGCCCTGTCCCTCTGGCTTGGAGACGTTCCCTGCACTCACTCTCCACGTCGCGGACGCAGACGCCGTGCAGGAGGACGATGTGCTTGTGGGACACCTGCCTCATCATGCTGGCTGTCTCAAAGAAGGCCTGTGGGAAGGCAGAGAGCATTAAATAAAATTATAGAATCACCAAGGCTGGAAGAGAATGCTAAGATCATCCAGTCCTACCGCTAACCTGTCACTGGTGTAATCCCTAAACCATTTCCTCCAGCGCCAGAGCCAGACACCTCTGAAACACCTCCAGGGATGGTGACTGCACCACCTGCCTGGGCAATATCCCAGTGCCTGAACACCCGGACAGGGAAAACATTTCTCCTGACATCTAATCTGAATTTCCCCTGTCTCAGCTTGGTTCAGCCAAGGATGGAACAAATACAGAGCAGCAAGGGACAAAAAACATGGACAAAATCACTGGGTTTAGGCACATAAAGGGTCAGGGGTAGAGATGTGCCATCTCACTGCAGTAATGGAACTGTACCTTCAGCATGTTCCCATTCCCAACCCATTTTAAAGCCTTTCCACAGTTATCCATGTGCAGCACAGCAAGGCTCAGTATTTGCAGTAAAACAGACTTGCCAAAGAAATGTCTCTGTGGCTGGGGTCCAGGACTTTAAGGAGGACTTTAATGTCTTTTTCATTCTGATAGCCTTCATTCTCATCATCTTTGAGGTTGAGGATCCCTGAGTAAATCTGTGTCCTTGTGCCTCTTCCAAGATGTTCACCCTGAGGCACAACACAGCAGAGGTTTTTCATCAGACATGAGGCAAACAAAGGTAGATTTATACAAACACTTGATCTGCACTTCATTTTGCCTCCCCAAGGAGAGGACTTCGCCCTAAATCTAGCTATAGACTTAAAATTAGGACATTGAGAACCCAATGACAACATGTGACTCTTTATTTCAGTGATCTCTGAGCATCCTCACCACATAAACTCCTTGGCTATTGCACCTCCACTAACACCAAACAGGTTGAGTGATTCGACATTACCAGACCAAACACCAAATGAATAAATACTAACTGGCCTTTTCTTTACAAGAAGCTGCTATTGAGAGGATCTTTCATGTGCTTCCAAAAGCTAGAGGAAGTAGTATTTCAATGGAATGCTTTGTTTGGGTAAGAATTTCCTCCTAAATAACACAGGATTCAGCCTTGGGATATTTTTGCAGGAAGGCTGAATGCTGACTGTGAATATACCAATCAAAACACAATTGCCACAGTCTGTATCTATCCTACACACATAGTGATGGAACTAAAACACCCAAAAACCTTTTTATTTCGGAGAAGAGGCCAAAGGCAAGATTTAAGAGCTCAGGTCTGTGCGTTTGTTGAGGTTTATTCAGGTGACTGTGAACAAATGTCAGATTGTTCAGGGCTTCTGAACACATCACCCTTGGATGTTATCTTAAACCCCAAGTTGCTGTTTCTCTGCTATCTTAGGCTTTTAAAAATACATTTAGCAACAAAGCAGCTCTTAAGGTTTTCATGGCATGACCTCTTAACATTACAAACTGCTCAAATATCCATTTGATTTCTAGTGAAAGGCATCACTTCGGAGCTTCTCTTTGTCCACACAAGGACAAAGAAACACTTGGATTCTTTAAAGCAAAGAAAGATTCCGATTCAGTTCTGCTGAGGAGAAAGGGAGAGGAGGAAGCAGCCAGGATGGGGTGGTTTGGTGTTATCTGACTGGACACAGTGAGCTGCCACAGCTCATGGATCCCAGGAGCAGCTCGGGCACTTACCTGGATGATCTCTTCCTTGCGGATCCGATGGAAGCTCAGCTGCCCCAGGGGATACACAGGCTGCCATTCCTGGGCCTTCTTGGTTGCAACCAGCAAGTTGGAGATTTCTAGGAGGCAGGAGAAAATACTCTATAAGGCTTTTCAAAGAAAACTGCACTGCAGTTTCTCAGTCATAACTAACTGCTCACTGCAAGGTGAATCCCCAAATGAGTGAGGAGGGAGAAAAGAAGAAACTTTGACTTGCTTTCTGCTCATCATTCAACAGAGAATTCACTGAAGCACAGCTACATATTTTAGATTATAAATATAATGTCAATATTAGCCATATTGGGGGTGGTATTAAGCAATTAATAGTGTTTGCTGCTCAGAGAAGGAGTGAAAGAGGCAATAACTCTGCTGTACATGAGGTAAAGCACCACACACTCTCCCTCCTGCCTGCACCAACAGCAACATCTCCGTCCCAGTCTGCAAGGGGTAACCAGAGACTCATTTCCTCTCTTTACCTCCTTCAAAGTTCCTTGTACTCTGGGAAACACTAACAGGCTGTTCCCAGAGCACTGGAATCAAACTGGGGAATGGGAAATGAAGAGAAGGCAAAGACTCCAAAGGCCAGTGCTTCCTCCCCACTGCTGCTGGTCAGGGTAGATCCAGAAGTCTTGCACATGAATTGTGTCTTCCAGGCATTATTTACTATGAGGTGATAGTTTTGGATGTGTGTGTGGATCCCACTGCTGGGAGCAGAACACACGTGTCAGGGCTAAACCATCACCTAGGACTCTTAAAACCATTAGTAAGAACCACACGTTGCAAAACCAGCTTTATTTCTGCCTCCCCTAAGCTTCTTTGTGAATAACCAATTCAAAAAGAAGGGAAAGCAAACAGGGAAGAGACAGAACAAGGAACAGCACAGGTAGTGCACTGAATCCTGCTGTAACTAATGGCAATGAAAAGCTCCAGTGAGCAGTCAACTGCCTGACACATTATATTCGATTCCAAATAGAGTCAGCAAACTGTAAACAAAATGTCAAATGTCAGCATGGATAATCTCCCCCAGCTCCAGACAATTACCCCTCCCTGCCCTTCAGAGTGCTGACAAGCTCCGTCAGTCTCCAGAGGATGCTGCTCCAAACCCTCAGACCAGCAGGTAATTAACGTGGCTGTTATTCCCCCGATTCTAACAGGAAACCATTATCTGATCAGCACAATCACACCACTGTGCTTCCTCTCTCACAAAATTCAGCTGCAAGACACTTCTAGCTTATAGCAAACACTTTTAGCAAGTGTTGGCACTAAGAGTTTAACAAGTGCATGATTGTCCCAGCCCCTAACCTGACCTCAGAGAGGATTTCCTGCCATCAGCTGCAGAGCAAAAGCCTTTGCTGCTGCTTCATGAGGATCCATTGACTGGACCAGCTCAGAGCAAACAGCTCCAAACTAAGGCCTGACATACAGCCACTGCTGTCACATCCCTCCTCTGCCAGAGGAACACAACGTGGTGCCTGCTGGCACTACTTGGCATATGTGACTCCAGGGAGCAAAGGAAGAACCTGATATGGTCCCTGTTCACCTCAGTGTTTCAGCCCATGGCTCTGAGCCAGTTGGGGCATCTACTTTTAGAAAACCTCAATCTGGAGTTCCACCTCTGTTGTCAACCCTGCAGGAACAGCTGTTTAGGTGCAAAAAGGGAGCTTTTGTTGCCTTTCACCCAAACAAGGCTCACCCTGAGCATCCTGTACTGAGCTAACACCAAAAGGCAACTTCTCAAACCTGTTCATGGCACTTGCTTTTGCTTTTTGACAACACTCCTCCTCCACAGAGCAGGAAGACACTTTAAATAGCATTTTTGAGGTGATGGAAGAGCTTCACACAAGAACACAATAGGTACAAATTGAAAGAGGGGAAGTTTAGGTTAGGTATTAGGCAGAAGTTTTCCCTGTGAGGGTGGTGAGACACTGGCACAGGTTGCCCAGGGAGGCTGTGGCTGCCCCAACCCTGGCAGTGTTCACAGCCAGGTTGGCTAAAGCCTTGAGCAACCTGCTCTGGTGGGAGGTGTCCCTGCCCAGGGCAGGGGGTTGGGGCTGGATGATCTCTAAGCTCCATTCCAACCCCTTAACACTCTGTGAATATCAGCACAAACTAAACACACTAAGAATTCCTCTTGTTCCTGGAGTTTGTTTCCTTGAAACAATAAACTTCTTAAAAGCCAAACTACCTCTTGGTTTGGGTTGGCAGCACCTCTTCAGTGTGAAGCTGATGTTGTCTGTCCGAAGGATTTGTCCTTTCAGGTGATCCATCAGCTCTTTCAAGGATGCAAAAGACTTGTTTGAGCCATGCAGAGAGTATTCATCTTTCTTCACTTCAATCTGGAAGTTCTTGTACTTGACTGAGTTATTGAGTACCTGCTGTTAGGGGAAGAAGAGAAATAAACCAAGCCAATATAACCACCATAGTGAAAGAATGTAATGCCATAAAAGCTCCCCAAAACCTTTGCAATGACATGTAGGACCAATTAAACACTTGCTCCTAAGCCTCTAATCACACGGAAACAAAGCAGAAAATGACCTAAAATTCCTGTAATTTTCAGTCCCAGGAAGGCTCATAACAACAGAAAAGCAGCAACATGCAGATGCAATCATCAAATAAGACCAAGTTAGGGCTCCTGTGGTTTGCTGGGCCTGACAGATGTGGAAGCTCTGCCTCTTCCAAAGGGATTTCCTCTTTGCTTGGTCAAAAATTGCAGAATCTGGATGATGGTTTCAACATCTCATCTTAAAAATAGCCCAACTCTTGTTTCCCAACCAGATTGTTCCACCACTGAGAGAAGACTTCAGGCTGTTGTTGAGACCTTCCACTTTCAAAGGTGCTGGGGAAGGAGGACTGAACTTTTTGACTTCCCTATCTCATGCCTGTGCCCTGTAAGGTATCTCCACACCTGCTCCCTCATTCTGCTGTGCTGCAGCTTCTGTCACCTCTCCCTCCCCCCTCTGAGCCTCACAATGAGGCTGAATGTTTCCCAGGACAAAATTCCTTCCTTATTTCCCTACCTCAGCTGTTCTGTCTGGTAGAAGACAGTGCAGATCACCTAGCTTTAAGCAAATCTCTACAGAAGATGAACCCAGTATCAAACATCCCTCCTTGACCTCATCACTGATTCCATTAACATTTTTTCCCCAAGGAAAGCAGTTTATATGCATTTATACTATTATCATTCTCGTGTGAACACTTTAAATACTCTCCCCAAACTATCCAGGCAGCTGCAGACTTCTAGTGGCAGCAGAAATACATCCATGCAAATAAATCCACGTTCAAGGAGGCCCAAGGTAAGCTGGACCATGTTCAATGTAAGCTGCAGTGACAAATTCTCCATGTCACTCTCACCCCACAGGAGTGTAAAATGCTTAATTTCCATCGTGCCCCTTCACAGGTTTATTTCTAGGAATGGAGACGTTCTGGATGTCATTAATCCTATTTGTAGAGCCAGCACAAGGGTCTGGGGAAAACCAAGCCATGAGTACAGTTATCTACCCACAAAGGTTAAGTGTGACTTCCCCCAAAAACATCAATACATCCACATGGATCACAGGGAGCTGT